GGTTCCTTCCAAACAAAAGGTCTATGGTAGGACATTTCCTTTTTTTAGCAGGAGGTTGGTTATTCAGCTTTATTTAAAAACAAAAGAATTAGATTAAATGGGAGCAAACTGATAGTCACAGTTGATAGATAACTTTTTTTTTTTTTTGCGGTACGCAGGCCTCTCACTGTTTTGGCCTCTCCCGCTGCGGAGCACAGGCTCCGGACGCGCAGGGTCAGCGGCCATGGCTCACGGGCCCAGTCGCTCCGCGGCACGTGGGATCCTCCCGGACCAGGGCACGAACCCATATCCGCTGCATCGGCAGGCAGACTCTCAACCACTGCGCCACCTGGGAAGCCCGATAGATAACTTTTATTAAACGTATTAGCTTAATTTTTTAAAAGAGAATATGAGGTCTCTCCATTTTAGCTTTCAGAGGAGGCATGTTTTTGTTACCTGGAGTACAAAAAATTCCAGAAGAATAATATAATCATGATGTTTATATAATACATTTTAGGAAACATTACCATGACAATCATGATATCTAAAAGATTGCCAGATAATGCCTTATTGTGTCATTTTCTGGCTAGTCTTCTAGTATTAAAAACTGTAACAAAACAGGATGTCAGGTGACCTACAATTAAATCATTTTGATAAGTAACCTTACATTTTAAAATGTGTTATCTGCAAAAGTACATATATTTATATCACAAAAAGGATCCTTCCTACCTAGAGCCCCATTTCCTTTCTCAAAAGGCAGCCACAGATACTAGATTTTTTGTGTCTTTCAAGAGGTTTTCTAAGCAAACACAAACTAATATATATGCCTTTTAATACAAACGGCAGTTTCCTATATACTGTTTTGTATCTTGTTTTTTCATTTATTAAAATTCTTTGATGTTGATTACATTTCAGTTCATATAACCTTATTATTTTTAAAGGCTGCACCACAGTTCAACCGGCTGCTTGATGAAAATTTAAATTGTTCCCAAATGTATGCCATTACAAACAATGCTGAAATAAATTTATATATTTTATGCACCAGTGTATTGAATCCCTGGAAGCAGAACCGATGGATAAAAGTTTTGAACATTTTTATTTTGACATATATTGTCAAACTCTTCACCAAGAATCTGAATCAACTCACATACCAGACAAAAATGTGTTACATTTCTAACACTATGTTTTATCAAAATTTTGTCATTGTTAATCTGAAAGGTGAAAACATTCCAGTTTTATTTTCCATATCTTGAGCATTTTTTACTCTTTGCTTAAAAGTCATTTTCAGCTCCATTTCTGTGAACTGCCTGTTTGTCATGTGCCCATTTTTCTGTTTGCTAGGTTTTGTAAAAAGTTTCTTTTCAAGCTGCTCAACATCACTAATTATTAGAGAAATGCAAATCAAAACTACAATGAGGTATCACCTCACACCAGTTAGAAGGTATCACCTCACACCAGTAGATTTTCATCAGAAAATCTACAAGCAACAAATGCTGGAGAGGGTGTGAAGAAAAGGGAACCCTCTTGCACTGCTGGTGGGAATGTAAATTGATACAGCCACTATGGAGAACAGTATGGAGGTTCCTTAAAAAACTAAAAATAGAATTACCATACGATCCAGCAATCCCACTACTGGGCATATACCCAGAGAAAACCATAATTCAAAAAGACACATGCACCCCAATGTTCATTGCAGCACTATTTACAATAGCCAGGTCATAGAAGCAACCTAAATGCCCATCGACAGACGAATGGATAAAAAAGATGTGGTACAGATATACAATGGAATATTACTCAGCCATAAAAAGGAACAAAACTGGGTCATTTGTAGAGATGTGGCTGGATCTACAGACTGTCATACAGAGTGAAGTCAGTCAGAAAGAGAAAAACAAAATCATATATTAACCCATATATGTGGAACCTAGAAAAATGGTACAGATGAACCAGTTTGCAGGGCAGAAATTGAGACACAGATGTAGGGAACAAACATATGGACACCAAGGGGGGAAAGCGGCAGGGGGATGGGGATGGTGGTGTGATGAATTGGGCGATTGGGATTGACATATATACACTAATATGTATAAAATGGATAACTAATAAGAACCTGCTGTATAAAAAGAAAATTTCATTTTATGTTAAGAATTTTTTCTCAAATTTGTCATGAATGTTTACATTTTTGCCACGCATTCTTTTTGATTTTTTTTGTAGTCTAATTTTTGCCTGTTTTACTGATTTTGAAAATGTGATAATACTCAGTAGTGTTGATAATGTGATGAGAGAAATATACTCTTACAAACTTTTTGAAGTACAGCATCTCTCTCATCCTGAAGAATGAGTACTATAAAAGTGATTTTAGGACAATGTTACTGAAATATATAAAGAGTATAAAAACTACTGTATTTTCTGTTTATAAAAATGTTAACAGGCTGTGAAATCCCTCAAGCAAAACTTCAATTATGTGCTTATAGGAAACATCATAGCAATCAATACTGAGGAAGTAGATAAAGGAAGGGATTTTCAAAGAAAGAAGCTGAAAGAGAACATTCAAAGAGAAAGTAAATGAAGTGAACAATATGAAAAGCTCTGTGAAAGAAAATATATTTCTTCTACACTGAATGATAACTAATATATCCAGAAAGGAATTATATACCTAAATTACTAATTATAATCTCAAGATCTTTACTATTTATTATTTTATTTTTCCTATTATAAAAATATCACTTTTTATTTACAAATATGCATATATTTACAGAAAACATGAATCTACATAATATATGCATACCTCAGAACTATTGCATGTTCAGTTCCAGACCACAATAAAACAAATACACATATATACATATAAATATATGTATATATACACACCATATACATAAACATTTATACATACTGTGGTACAACTTGTTTTTTGTTTCTGTTTGTTTTCAATTTATAATATACTTCGGACATACTTCCACCTTAGAACATTTAGAACTATCAAATGTTTTAAACTATTATTATTCCACTGTAGATGTACAATTAATTATGTAACCAAATTCCAATCAATGGTTACAAAACTATTCCCAAGTTTTCTATTACAAACAATCCTACTGTGACCATCTTTTGTGGTTTTTTTTTTTTTTTTTGTGACCATCTTTGACACAGATTTTTATGTGCACACTTAGGAGCACGATGAATTCCAATAAATGAATGGATATTAAAATTTTTAAGTTATCACCATAAAAAAGTTTTACCAATACATTTCCACTAAGAGTTTGTAAGAGTATATTTCTCTCACCACACTATCAACAATACTGAGCATTATCACATTTTCAAAATCAGTAAAACAGGCAAAAATGGTCTTACTTTAATTGCATTTTTCTGATAATTAATGTGGCTGAGTCTTCATTCCCCTTATCATTTGTGTTTCTCTTACTTTGAATTCACACTTTTTATTCTCAGATTGGATGGTTGATCTTAAAAGTCCTTAATGAGAGTTCTAGGCATATTAGAAAATAAGCTCTTTTTCTGTTAACAATTTCCATTTGTATCTGTTTTGTTTTGTTTTTCTTGCACGCAAATGTTAAGAATCATGTCCCTACATGGGCTTTAGGTTTTTCTATCAACCTCAAAAATGCTTTCCCACATGCTACACTCACAAACATTCATTCAGCTTTTCTTCTTTTTTAGGTTTCATATATTTCAACTTAAATTAGTAAATCATCTAGATTTCATTTGTATGTTAAGAGTGAGGGAAAGTTCAAGTTTTATTATTAGGTTTCCCAAATAAACACCTGATTGTCCATACATGATGGATTAAATGTTATTTATTCTCCATTCCCTATTTTAAATGTATGTTTATCAAATGTCAGCTTTCCTTTTATTCTTAAATGTCTCTTCAGTTTCTTTGATTTGTCTGGTAGTAGATCTATTCCCCCTAGTGGCCTTTTAATCACTACAGCTTTATAAGACCTTTTATTATATTGCAAAATCCCCAGATATATGTATACATATGTACATTTTTCTTTGAATTGAAAACTTCCTGGCAAGTAGTTATTTTTCCCCTTGAGCTAAACAGTTGCTTTAAAAACAAACAAAAAAATTCGGTTAGGATTCTGTTTAATTTATATGTTCTTTTAGAGAAATGATACCTTTGTCTAGAAGAACGTTATGTATTTCATTGTATTTTTATCTATACATTCTCATATATAGTATATTTTCATCTATGTCCCTAGAGCTTTACATCTTTTTTAAAATACGCTTTTCAAGTTATTTCATGCCAAACGGAATGGTTTATTTTGTTCTATTTTCCAGTTTATATATATATATATATATATATATATATATATATATAACATCTATTGATAACTGTAAATTGCAGTTAGATGCAATTAGACACTTCACTAAATTTTTTATTTTTTCTATGAGATTTTCAGTTGTTTTCTGTTGATTCTCAAGGTACACGATTGTATTATGTGTAAAAAGTGATAATGTTGTGTCTTCTTTTCTAATCAGAATGTTAACGTGTCCTCCTGCCTACCTCACTGGGCTATACAACTCAACAACGTCATAGAGTATGATGATAAGCATTCTTGGCTTTTCCAAATTTCCTGGAAGTGATGCTAGTGTTCCAAGATTTACCGTGAGAGCAAGACAGACAGATGGAGGGTATCCTACTCGTAATGCAGTAACACCCAATATAAAATATTAAAGCTTTACCCTTTTACGTAGGTGGGAAATCGACCTTAGTGCATAATATCTTCATCTCTGTACTAGTTTGGGTAGATAACACACTAAATACGCAACAAAGTAAAAACTCAACTAAATCGTAGGTCCTAAGACCAGAAAACAAATGAAAGAAAATTCTAAGTCTTGAAACATAAACGTTTTATTTTATAGAAACAAACCAACTGTACGCCGAAATAAATTACCACCCGCCCCCCAAGTCCGCCTGAATGCTAAAGCGAGAGTTGGGTTCTCTCCTGTAACCCCCGTCGCTCTGCCAGCAAAGCACGTCAAGAAGTAGCTGCAAACCCTTTTACCTGCTAGTCGGGCAGGCCCGGGTCCGCAAAGCTGCGCTGAGCGAGCGCCCGCCAGAGACGCCAGCGGAGCCGCCTCCGGGGCAGGAGACGCGGGAAAGGTGCGCAGCGCGGCCGGGCAGCGCAGCCAGCTCTCCGGGGCGCGCGTCTCCGCGGCCGGAACGCTCTCCCCAACACAGCCTCAGTCCCGGGGCCACGACCGCCGACTTCAGATCCAGGGGGCCCCGACCCCTCACCCAGCGCGGGAGACGGCTCGCTGCCAGCCAGGTCCACGCGTCCACCTGGCAGACATGCGCCGAGCGCCCCGAAACTTCGGAAACCACCTGGGGATGCGGCGCGGGGCGCGGCGGGCCGGGAGGCAGACAGCCCAGGACACGGCGTGCCCCCGCGTCCGCCGGCCTCGGGCCTCTCCTCGAGGCGCCCGCGACCCGGCTCTCCGCCCGCCCGGCCCCACTCACCGCCCGGCCAGCCGTCCACTCGGCACCCGCGACGCCAGGCCTGGGGTCTGAGTTTATCCAGGGAGAAAAGAGAAAGGGGCGGGGCGGGGAAATGGAGAAGGAAGAGGAGGATTTTGCAATGAAAAACCACACAGAGCCCCGCAGCCGACTGGGAGGAGGGTCGGGGGCGTGGTCCCGCGGGCGGGGACCCTCCCCGGGGCGCCGTCTCCCCGCCCCGCCCCGCCCCCGCGCTGGGAGCTCTGCTGCGGCGGGTCCGCTGCCCCTGGAGGCACGGGCCGCTGCTGAAGCCGCCTTTCCAGTAAAAATGCACAGGAGACAGGAAAAGAGGGAAAACTAGTTGTCACCGCTCACATGTGAGGTGAAGAAAAAGATAAAAGCAAGTCGACGGTTGCCTCTAATCCTAAAGGCACTTTCTAGAGCCTGTGAGGCAGGGCTTCGTGGCAGAGATCAAAGAGCCCAGAAAGGAAAAGAAGAAGCCAGCCTTTCGTAAGAGCCCTGTTAATTTGCATCTGTCCCACACCCCAGACCCTTGGCTTGGAGAATTGACCTTGGCGATGCAATGCGGGCTGGAAACACTCAGGCCCGGGGCCCAGGCATTTGTTTTCCTTTCCACTGGATTGGAGGAGGCCAGTTTGATGTTAGAGGGAGGTAGGGAGGAAGGGGTGCCAGAAAAGAGGAGTGGGGGAGCTGGGTCGCCTATGTTTTCTGAGAGAAAAATGGCATTTGTTAATTACTGTTGTTAGGCACAAGTATTGGTTTCAAACTAATGAAGTTTAGATCTGTGGTCCATGGGAAGGAACACAACCCACTGACAGGAACTGAGGGAATCTAGATATCTCTGACCTTATAAAGAATCAGAACTGGACAGAAGTAAATTAGATTAAGTTCTGAAGAGTACTTGGCAGTGCCCCACTATGGGAGAAGTTTGGATAGGGGAAGGCGTATGGGAGTGGAGTTATGGAATTTTCCATTTTCCCCTTATGAATGCTATCTGCTACTGTGTATGTGAAATAGATTTTAAAAATTCATATTGCATTTCTCAGTAGTAATTGCATGGGACATTACCCAGATACTGAAATAATGTTATATTGAAAGCATAAAACGAAGTAGTGCCGAAACTACAGCTAAATATGATACTATTTATTAGCTTTGTTTTAAATTCATGAGAGTGATTCAGAGATTGAGTTTATGAATGCAAACCTCCAAAATGATCACATGAATGATCCCCAATAATTCAGGAGCAAAACATGGCTTGTGAAACATATTGCTTTGGGGAGGGATAAAGAAACGATTGAAAGTATTTCACATGCCCCAAATCCCAAGTTTTGAGGGGAAGAATAATGATCAAACCTATGTGTATAAAGTTCCTGATCTGGTGATATTCCAACTCAAATCCTTCAGGGGATGAAAACTTTACTGTTTTTTGTACTAATCCTACGTTATTTGCCCTATTGCTCCTTAGCTACATCTCTTAGTATTATTTTCTTTTTATTGTTTTTTCCCACATTACCACAATCTTCTTAGAGTTAATATTGTACCTCTTCACGTGAAATTAGGAAGTTTGCAAAGTGCTTTTTGGTATCTCAATTCTATATGTCATTGCTATCATGTTTTACATGTACACAAATTATAGACTACATAATTAAATGTTATGTTTTGCTAAAGCAATCAGTTGTCTTTACAGCTATTAGGAGATGAAAAAATAGTTTTTATATTTACCCACAAATACACAGTTATCTGCTTTTCATTTTTTCTGGTAGTTAAAGAGTTTTATCTATTGTCACATCCCTTCAGGCTGGGGAATTTCCTTTAGCATTTCTTGTAGTGCAGAACAGCTAGAGATAAATTCTCTCAGCACTGTTTAATCTGAAAGTATTTTTTTGTATGCATTTTAAAATATCTTCACTGGATATAGAATTCTGAGTGGACAGATTTTTCTTTTCTTCCCCAACAGTTTTGAGTTACATTTTTATCTGATGGGATTCAGATTTTTGGCTTTTTAGCTTTGGTTTTCTGCAATTAGGCTGTGATGTGTGGTTTTCTTTGTATTTATCCTCATTGGAAGTCTTTGAGCATCACAGACAGATGATAGGTTGATATTCTCACCATTTGGGAAACTTCCAACCATTATTTCTTTAACTTACCTCCCTACACCATTCTCTGTTCTTTCCTTCTGTAAATTCAATTAAATGTATCTTAGACCATTTAATGTTGCCTCACAGGTCAGCAAGACTTGTTTACTTTTTTCCAATACAGTAAGTCCCCTACATACGAATGAGTTCCATTCCGAGAGCATGTTCGTAAGTCCAACAAAGTTAGCTTAGGTACCCATAACACAATCAGCTATATAGTACTGTAATAGGTTTATAATACTTTTCACACAAATAATACATAAAAAACAAACACAAAAAATAAAGAAAACATTTTTAATCCTACAGTACAGTACCTTGAAAAGTACAGTGGTACAAGTACAACAGCTGGCATCCAGGGGCTGGCATCGAGTAAACAGGCAAGAAGAGTTACTGACTGGAGGAGGGAGAGGAGGTGGGAGATGATAGAGCTGAAGGATCGTCAGCAATAGGAGACGGAGGGCAAGCTGCAATTTCACCTACACCTGACATAGATGACATGGGTTCTGATTCCTTACTGGATTCAATTCTATCTACCCTCTTGAAAAAACAATCCAGCGATGTCTGGGTAGTAGCTCTTTTTTTCACATATAGATAACAGAGACTGCTTTCTGAACAGCTGCTGCAACCTTCGTGAACCATTCTACATTCAGGTACTGTGCCTCGAAAACTAACAGCACCTCCTCAAATAAAGAAAATCCCCTTGCCATTTCCTGGGTCGTGAATCTCTTCAGTTCTTCAGTTACTTCTTCTTCCTCTTGTCTCTCTTCATCCTTACTCTGGGCCACCAATTCCATCAGGTCTTCATTAGTAAGCTCCTTGTGTTGCAGAGCAAGGAGTTCAATGAAATTGTCCTCTTGCAGATCTATCTTCTTGCCAAGGGTCACTAAGTTGTTGAAGAACTCTTTGGACTCCTCATCCACCTCAAATCCATGAAAATCATGAACAAACTGCAGGCAAATGTTCTTCCAAATCCCATTCATGGTAACGGCCATAACCTCACACCAAGCAAAGTCAATGTTTCTTATGGCCTTGTAGATGTTATAGTCCTTCCAAAATTGTTGCCATGTTGTTCCTGATTCATCACTTACCTGTACTGCCTGACGAAAAGTGTGACATAAATAATATTTCTTGAAAGTCGCTATAACTCCCTGGTCCATAGGTTGGATGAGCAACATGGTATTCAGTGGCGATGCACTACTTTGACATTGGGATGAAAGTCATCCATGAATGGGAGATGGCCCAGAGCATTATCAAGCAGCAAAAGAATGTTGAATGGGATCTCCTTCTCCAAGCAATATTTCTCTATCTCTGGGATAAAGTGGTAGAAAAACCCATCCTGGAAAATGGCCTGTGTAAACCCAGGCTTTGGGGTTACTCTTCTGTACAACAGGAAGGGAGCCTGTGGCTATGCTTTTAAGGGCTTTTGGGTTCTCTGAATGATAAACTAAGAGAGGCTTCAGCTTCGTATCACCAGAAGCATTGCCACCAAACAACAGAGTTAGCCTGTCCTTTGCTGCTTTATAGCCTGGCAACAACTTCTCCTCCTTACTGATGTAACTTCGGTCTGGCCTCCTCTTCCAGTACAGTCCTGTCTTGTCCATGTTAAAAACCTGCTCGGAGTGTCCTTGTTCCCATGGTGAGCCACAGCCACCGCCCGCCTCTGCAGGAGACCCTCCAACACTAGCAGGAGAGGGGGAAGATGGCGGAAGAGTAAGACGCAGAGATCACCTTCCTCCCCACAGATACACCAGAAATACATGTACACGTGGAACAACTCCTACAGAACACCTACTGAACGCTGGCAGAAGACCTCAGACTTCCCAAAAGGCAAGAAACTCCCCACGTACCTAGGTAGGACAAAAGAAAAAAGAATAAACACAGACAAAGAATAGGGACGGGACCTGCACCAGTGGGAGGGAGCCGTGAAGGAGGAAAGGTTTCCACACACTAGGAGCCCCTTTGCGGGTGGAGACTGCGGGTGGCGGAGGGGAAAGCTTCGGAGCCGCGGAGGAGAGCACAGCAACAGGGGTGCGGAGGGCAAAGCGGAGAGATTCCTGCACAGAGGATCGGTGTTGACCGGCACTCACCAGCCCGAGAGGCTTCTCTGCTCACCCGCTGGGACGGGCGGGGCTTCGGTTGGAGCACAGGGAGAGGACTGGGGTTGGTGGCGTGAACACAGCCTGCAGGGGGTTAGTGCACCACAGCTAGCTGGGAGGGAGTCTGGGGAAACGTCTGGATCTGCCAAAGAGGCAAGAGACTTTTCTTCCCTCTTTGTTTCCTGGTTCGCCAGGAGAGGGGATTAAGAGCGCTGCTTAAAGGAGCTCCAGAGACGGGCGCGAGCCACGGCTAACAGTGCGGACCCCAGAGACGGGCATGAGACGCTAAGGCTGCTGCTGCCGCCACCAAGAAGCCTGTGTGCGAGCACAGGTCACTATCCACACCTCCGCTCCCGGGAGCCTGTGCAGCCCACCACTGCCAGGGTCCCAGGATCCAGGGACAACTTCCCCGGG